AGTTATTACACAAAGCTGCTTTTCTGGGATTTTCTTTCTCTTCTCACCAAATTCAGCCAATCCCTTACTTTTGTAGATGGGGAAATAGAGCCTGAGAGGAGAGTGACTTTTCCCAACGCCACAACTGATATATCTCTTATTCTACCCACAATCTCATGTAAAACAAACCTTCAGATCCTTCATTGTTTTTCTTAGAGCAAGGCTAGAAGGTCCTTTTGCCAGTCCCCTTGGCCTCCCCGTGATTCCCTTACCTCCAGAAGCCCACCCCTCATCACTTGTTTTGAATGTTGGGATGCTGGGGAGTTGGGAGGGTGAGTCCTCTGAGGAGAGTCATGTCAGGTCGCCTAGCGACTTTCTCTGAGCCATAACTGGTTTTTAGAGTATTTTGATTTGAGAAAATAAAAATTATTGCAGCCGCTTGATGAGCCCTGACTGTGTGCCAGATCCTGTTGTAAATGTTGTGAAGGCAGGAGCTAATTTGATTACAGCTGGGGCTCAGCCTTCCCTTCATGGTGCTTCCTCTGCACCTGTCCTTAGGGACTGACTGCTCCAGCTTGGGCAGGGGGTGCACCCAAGCGTTTTTAGAGCAGAACAGTGCAATTAGAATAAATTATTCTGCCCCCTTTTTATTGAATTTGCTAGGGTGACACTGGTTAACAAAATTATACAAGTTTCAGGTACACAATTCTGCAACGCATCATCTGTGCATTGTATTTTGTGTCTACCACCCCAAGTCACGTCTCTGTCACCATTTATCCGCCATATCCTCCACCTCTCCCCGCAATCATCACACTCTTGTTTTCTGTGTCCATGAGGTGTTTTTTTCCCTCAATCCCTCCACCCCCAGTCTCTCCCACATCTGTCAGCCTGCTCTCTATTTATGAATCTCAATCTATTTTGCATGTTACTTCATTTTGTTCATTAGATTCCACATATGAGTGAGATCATATGGTACTTGTCTTTCTCTAACTGGCTTATTTCACTTAGCATAATGCTCTCTAGGTCCATCCATGCTGTTGCAAAGGATAAGATTTCCTTTTTTTTTTTTTTTTACAGCCAAGTAGTATTCCAGTGTGTAAATACCACATCTTTTTTATCCACTAACCTACCGATGGACACTTGGGCTGCTTCCAAATCTTGACTATTGTAAATAAGGCTGCAAAAAATTATTCTTGACATGAAGACCAATTAGAAACATTTTTAAAAGTGTCCAACGAATTTCCCCTGAAAGCCAACAGTAACCCTTATTTCTTGCTAACGCTACACTTTGAGTAAAATGTTATTTTTAAAGTCATTGTATACATGTGTATGTAATATTCTTGAAGAAAGACAGACTGTACTCCTGATGGTGTGGGTTTTCTTTGAAGACAAATGTAGATTTAGAAATATTTAAATTGTTTTATCTCCTGCGTGTTTTATTTGCTGTAATTCAGAGGAAGGACCCCCATGTGCATTCAGAAACATTGATGTCTGTTTTTTTGTTTTTTTTTTTCCACCTCTCCTTTCTTCCTCCTCACCTTATGGCTTCATTTCACTGCTGTTTTTGCATTCCCACTGTCTCTCTGGTGTTTTGGGCTGGAAATGTTAGCAAAAGAGGCCCCCTACAACCCGTAGCTGGGGATCTATTAGTAAATATATATTTTCTCTTTATTTTTTTTCGTCACCATTTATCCCACCTATATCTTCTTCCGCCACCCTATCCCCATCCCAGGCTGTCTGCCAGCTCTCTCTCTATGGCTTTCTATTTTGCTTGTTAGTTCAGTTCATTCATTAAATTTCACATATTGCTGTCTATTTTAACAACATCAAAAACTGGGAATAATATTTTGATGGTTTGATAATTAAAAATTTTAACATTAAATTTTTGTGTTAGCTATTTGTGCATGTAGTGTATTTCAAAATATACAGAACTATTTCAAAAGGGAGCTTAATGTTGCCTTTTACTAACTATTAATACAAAATAGTCTTTTATGGTATTGTCCAAAAAGGAAACAATTGTAACAAAGCCAAAAGAATTGAAGAATTTAAAAAAACTTGGGAGTTGTCAAAACTAGAAAAAGAGTAGGAGTTGGCACACCAGAAACAGGAGTCTCTAGCTCTAGGAGTACAAACGTTGTGAGTTTTTCCTGATGGGGGACTGAAAGTAATCCTCTACTTTACATTGAAATCCCCTCCTCCCTTTTTAATAGTGAAAAAAGCTACCACATAGATATACATTATTTTAAAGATTGTAAATGAAATCTTTTGTCTTTTAAAATTTTAGGGATTGAGTGTTGCTATCCTGGGACCCACCTTTCAAGATTTGGCAACAAATGTAAACCGTAATATCAGCAGTCTTTCTCTAATTTTTGTGGGCCGTGCCTTTGGATACTTGAGTGGCTCTGTGGTTGGTGGAATTCTTGTTGACAATATGAATCCTTTTTTACTTTTGGGTAAGTAAATATGAATTTTACCTTTTTTATGACTTTCAAGGAATTTAAATTTGTTTTTAAATATGAAACATTCTAGCTTGCAAAGTTGTTGACCACCTAAGTGAGTAGTGTTAGGTGTCCTAAATGGAAGTCAGCTTTCCCTGGTGCCTGCTTTCATCCTGGCAGTTATAGGGAATCTGTGCTGGGCTGCTTCGGTAATTTAGCCCTGTTAGTGATCCTTGGCCTTTCTGACTGTCACTGTAATTTAGGTACCACCCCTGGATCACATACTAGTTGTCCAAAGAGCTCTGCTTGTCAGAGTTTAGGGCAGATCTGGGGTCACTATAGATCAAAATGAATTCCTTGAGCCTGCCAAAGCTAAACCCTGGGCTGAGGATGTGTGTGGGGTGGTGGTGAAATGCCGTAGGCTAAATTTTTGTCACTGCTGCCCCATGTCAATGATGACCCCAGACCTCTCTACGTCACTGCTGAAATAGATGGCAAAGCTTTTAACTTACTCTTTTTTAAATAAATTGACATGTTTAAAGAAAGTTTGGATTAATGTGATAAAACTGCTGTGGAAAAAAGAATAATTTACTATTGTTGATGAATAAATAAATAATCCTCTGATTTCTAAATGTGTGGAAAGCATATACTTCTTTGATTTCCCTCCCTGTTCCCCAAGCTAACTTATTTAATCCATTTCTACTACAGACTACTATAGTAAGTGCATTTTATTTTTTTTGTCTTTTTTTAAACCTCAGATCTATAATTATCTTTAGGTTCTTAAATGTGAAACATTTAAATAAATAATTTTTGAGCTGTCTGTTTTGCTATAAAACTTTCCCTCGTGGTATAATTTATGGTTTGATTATTAGCAGTGCTAGAAATGTATTCCTATTGGAATAACTTTTATAGTCCCTAGAGATTATAAAAGCTTTAAATGAAATAACCATTTGTAGAAACTGAACCCCTCAGGTGCTGACTTGATCCGCGTCTCTGTGCATGAACATTGTTTCTTATAGTTGACTTTTACCTTTTTTCTCAGGCGTGTCAATGTTGGCTACCACGGTTGGTCTTTATCTTGTTCCATTTTGTAAGCGAGCAGTATTACTAATTGTCATGATGTCCATCTTTGGTGTTTCAGTTGGCATTCTGGATACAGGTTAGTGAGCCTTTCAGTGTCATCTCTGGGAATAGGAACCTTCTACAAGGACAAGCAGAGCAGATGGTATTAAATTGTCACTTGCAGACACTGACCTGCTGAATTGGTTATGGGGTCTCCCAGTCAGAACTACCTTTCTGGCAACTACTCTTCTTGTCAAATAGGTGTACCTATGTTTGAGCAGCCAGCCATAGAGCGCATTTAAAGAATTTTGTTCGATGAGAGACTGTTGATTTTCAGTATCCAAATAGGGAATCGTTCCCCACCCCCCATGTGGGTAATTACAGTGCACATGAACGAGTGTTCATTTTGGCGTACAGCTTTATCATTGTAGTGTGGGAAGACTTGATGGGTTAATAGGTTCAACCACGTTTGGCACCATTATTTGGCTGAGAAATCATAGAAGCAGCCCTTTAATTTAAAATGCATTCCGCCTTAACCAATCGATGTCTCTCTCTCTTCCACTCTCTCTGAAAAGCAATGGAAAAAATATCCTCAGGTGAGGATTAAAAAAAATAAAAGTAAATAAATAAAACGCACTCTGCCCTTTGAACTAAGAGAAACCTGTGCTGTGTATGACGCTCCTTCTCTTCCTTGTCTCAAAAGTCCCTGCCTTCTGCGGGACCCTCTCCATGGAGCATGCGTCTTGATCTGTTTCGAAGCCTACTAAACACCATGCGCAATGTTTGTTCAGCCCCAAAACCAGCTTTCTGCCCCTCTTTCCCGCTCTACTATTATTTGATAGGTCGGGGAAATGTTTTATACCTTAGGCTTAGTTTGGTTGTGAAATTACAGGGTGGAATTATCCGCAAATATATTAAAAGATAGAAAGAGAAAGAAAATGCAAGATTCGATGCTTCTTGCCTTTCACCTTCCAGGAGTATACATAGTGCATGTGGGGGTGCCAGACGGTACCCTTGTTTCCTGTAATGGGGACAGCAGAATCCTGTAGTATTCAAATTCCTGAACATGTGTGTTAGATCTGCTATACACATAAATAACTTTCCTCAAGTGGCTGCCAGTTGCAAGTACAGAAAGAGCTGGTAATTTGGCCACGATCTGGAGATAATATATATTTAAAAATTTATAAATACATAGATGAATATCCCCCCCCCAGCCTAGTATTAGAACTGTATTATAAAAAGCCTTGGGTGCCTGGCTGGCATGGTTCAGCGGTTGAGCATCGACCTAGGATCCAGGAGATCGCGGTTCGATTCCCAGTCAGGGCACATGCCTGGGTTTTGGGCTCCATCCCCAGCAGGGGCATGCAGGAGGCAGCCGATCAGTGACTCTCTCATCATTGATGTTTCTCTCTCTCTCCCCCTCTCCCTTCCTCTCTCTCTGAAATCAATAAAAGTATATTTAAAAACAAAACCAAACCTTGGACGAATGTGCCCAGCTCCAGGAGGTCGTGGTTGACTAGCTTGTGGAATTCCATTTGTGGATTTTTGATGTTACGCTGCTTGGAGTTCTCTGGTGGTGGTGGGGTAGAGTTCCTTAATCCTGGAATTGACTTAGTTGCAACATTTGATAACTTAGAATATTTTAACCTTTATGCCGTGTAAGATAGACTCATCTTTCTGATAGTAATGAACTGTTTTTTTACTAAGTTACTATGATTAAATAATTTTCCCCATTTTTCATTGGTAGGTGGTAACGTCTTAATCTTGGCTATTTGGGGGGACAAAGGAGCCCCACATATGCAGGCCTTACACTTCAGTTTTGCCTTGGGTGCCTTTTTGGCTCCGGTGCTGGCGAAACTGGCGTTGGGCACGACGGCGTCTGCCGAAAACCGCACAGAGGCTGACTTGGACCGTCCCGCCCTCCACCTGTCCCCTGACGCTGACTCAGAGCCGCTGCTTGGCGTCCCTGGCAATATGAATTTACTGTGGGCTTATGCTGTTATTGGTACTTACATATTTGTAGTTGCTGTCTTTCTTTTTGCTCTGTACTTCAAGAAAAGCTCACAGCAGGAAAAAGCAAAAGCATCTGCCCAGAGGTCTCGAAGGGCGAAGCATCACAAGGCTCTTCTTTGTCTCCTGTTCCTGTTTTTCTTCTTTTATGTTGGAGCTGAGGTGACGTACGGCTCTTACGTTTTCTCCTTTGCTGTCACCCATGCTGGCATGACAGAGAGTGAAGCGGCTGGGCTGAACTCCGTCTTCTGGGGGACCTTCGCAGCCTTGAGGGGCCTGGCCATCTTTTTTGCTACATGTTTACAACCTGGAACCATGATTGTGTTGAGCAACATTGGCAGCCTGGTATCATCATTGTTTCTGGTGCTTTTTGACAAGAGCCCAGCTTGCCTGTGGATCGCAACTGCTGTGTATGGGGCCTCAATGGCAACCACATTTCCCAGTGGTGTTTCTTGGATTGAGCAGTACACGGCCATCCACGGGAAAGCGGCGGCATTTTTTGTAATCGGTGCCGCCCTGGGAGAAATGGCTATTCCTGCAGTAATTGGAATTCTTCAAGGAAAATATCCTGATTTACCTGTGGTTTTGTACACCTCTTTGGGGGCAGCAGTAGCCACTGCCACTTTATTTCCCGTGATGTATAAATTAGCCACGTCACCTCTCAGTCATCAGCGAAAAGAACACAGAAAAAGTGAGGACCAGAAAGCTTTGCTCTCTAGCTCTGGGCTAAATGACTATGAGGAAGAGAATGAAGGAGAAGATGCAGAAAAATGGAATGAAATGGATTTTGAAGTGATCGAAATGAATGATACGCTGAGGAATTCCGTAATAGAGACATCGAGGAATATTTTGGTGGCGCCCACAGCAGAAGTCTCCAACCAGTTCCACTCAAATGCATTAATGTGCGAGTTCTCTCCAGTTAGTACTGGCCAGTTCCCTGTGGACCACCTTGCAGAAAACCAGGACAGAGGGACTAACGCCTAGAGAGGGTGGATTGTTTGCTGACTTTCTTGAATAATTGCCAGTTCTCAAGAGGCCAGTGAGAGCAGAGCCTTAGATTTTCAACATGCTTTGGGAATCAAAATGTCACAGTCAAGTATAGCAAATGCTATAACGTTTTGCTATACTCTGTAATTCCCAGAGTCTTCCATAAAGAACCAGCAGTCTCAGCAGGATCTTGTGAGGCTAGTGTTTGGCATGTGGCTGATTAGGTGATACAGTAGGCTCTTCACCTCTCAGATCATGCAAAGCAGACATTTGCTTTTGAGAAGTTGGGTGATGTTTTAATAGAATGAAACCATCTAGTTGAATTGATTAGTTGAATAAATTATCAGTCATCAGTATTCTACCAGGGAAGTTGAAGAGAGTTGTTTCATAAAACAGCCCCTTTGAAAATGGACAGAGATTGTCATTAATTGTTTTGCACTCTCTCTAGTGTTGGACCAAAGAATGCTACGGCCTCAGTCGATTTCTGGTTTCTATGAAGGGAACGCAGAACAGGGTCCTAGAGACCTGGCTCCAAGCCTTGACAGGTGCTTGCTGTCTTATGGCCCTGGACTCTGTCACTTAACTTACCTAGGCCTCGTTTATCTCATCTCTTGATCTCTGATTCTGTAAGTGAAAATGTGATGATTTTCAAGCTAGGAATCCATAAGTTTTAGTTTGTGTAAGATGTCTGCTAGAAATTAATATAAGTGCCCCCCATTCTTCATTTCAAATGAGAAGTGAAACAAAATTGATAGCTTCCAGGACGTGCTGGTTGTGAGTACATGTCAATTTAAGAGACTCAATGTTTAATACTTTATTTGAATAATTATCTGAATATATTTTAAAATGTATTTCATTGATTCTAAGATACACCTTTTTTTCACATTTTTAATATCTCTGAAATCAGAATATGTCTTAAAATCAATGATTATTTAACATTGTGACAAATTTAATTNTGTCTCAAATCAGAATATGTCTTAAAATCAATGATTATTTAACATTGTGACAAATTTAATTGACGGTTTTTTACATCTATGTATAATAAAGTAATGTTGCGTTTTACAACCAGTATTTTAGGGCCAGTGGAATATGTAATTCATTCAATGATGGAGATTACTTTTAGCCATTTAAAAAAGAAAGGTTATTTTTGTATGGGAATTTTCTCTATGTTCAAATGAGATTTGGAAATGGCTGCGTTCCACCTTCATAGCTGTTTCAGAGTTTCTACGTTAGTAGTAGGACTGTGAGCGGCGTCTCTCACGGTCCTTTGCCTACCTCAGTAACAGAGTCTGGATCTGAGACTTGCTATTCCAGAATTTGCTCCTCACTGAGTCTGGTTGGTAATCACATTGTAAGCACCGTGAACCAGGCTGCCAGTTCCCTTTAGTTAGGCACAGTTTCCGGTGATGGGAATGCTGTATCACCCATCCTGGGCTTTTCCTCCTGAGTTTGAAATACCTAGGAAACCAAGGTAATGGTGAGAAAGTTGCTTGGTGGCCAGGGAGTCAGGGATCACAAAGGGTACTTCATATGAGTGTGGCAAAGCTGGTGTGGGCTGTCCTTTGAAAAATGACTGGCACTGATGACAGATTTTGTTCACTTCTCTTTACCAGTTTTTATGCTGAATAACATATAATTTCTACCTGATTGTAGTATGTCTGCTTTCTCTTAAATATATAAATTTGCATTTGTTTTTCCTTAAGGGAATTAACAGTACTTTTCTTGACCACTGCCATTCCCCTGTTATACCTGCCAGTACGGTAGGTAGTTCATCGTGATAATCTAACAGGCTTGGACAGGGCTGGTGGAGGAATTAACAGGGAAGAGCTGGTGCCTCTTGCTCTTACACTAACTATGCTTTTAGCCGGAACGTGGAGATTACCGCTGCTCCACTTACTGCTTTTCCTTGCTTGTTGGACCTTAGGCAGTAGTGGCTGCTTGGCAGCTCGGGGGCTTGCTAGGACCAGGTTTCTCCCTGCAGCATCTGCATTTAAGGGGTGGGGTAGAAGGTGCAGCTCAGGGAGGGGAGGGTGGTGGTCAGAACACAGCAGAAAGTGTAGAAGCCCACCCTGGAAAACCCACTCGAGTTCCACAAACCAAAATGTGAATGAATGGCCATATGAGATTACAGGCATTGTTAAAGTTTGATAATGTCTTTCCATGTTGGAAGAATAAAGCTTACTACAATTGCAAGAATTAGCATTCAGCCTACTCTCAGTTCTTAAGTAAGCATCTGCTGATATACAAGTAACCAACACCAAAGTTTTCTATCACTGCGCCACAAATTACCACAAATTTAGCAGCGTAACATAACAAACTTTTTAAATATCTCCTTTTCCTTGGGCCAGGAATTTGGGCATGACTTCAGGGTCTCACAGGGCTGCGGTCAAGCTATTGGATGGAGCCATGCTCCTTTCTGGAGCTTGGGGTTCTCTCCCAGGCCCATGCGGCTGTTGCCAGTATTCAGTTCCTTGCAGTGGTAGACTCAGGTCCCCATCTTTTGCTGGCTGTCAGCTGGCACCAGTGTCAGTTCTTAGGACCTCCCACAGTGCCTTGTCATGTGGCCCCCCATAGATCCTCTCACAACCTGCAGCTCATCTCTTTAAAGCTAGCAGGAGAATCTCTTGCCTACTAAGAGCCTGCTATAACAGTGTCACCACGGGAGTGACACCCACCACCTTTGCCATATCCTGTTATCTAGGAGCAAGTCACAGGCTCTGTCCACACTTAAGGGGAGAGCTAGCGCAGAGATGGGATTTACTGGGGGTGACCTTAGGGTCTGTCCGCTATACTCAGGGACCTGAATGTATAAAGCCCTCCAGCAGTCACTGCAGTGATTGTAGGTGCAGCCCCTTGAGTGCACTTGTGTGGGGGTGGGAGCTCCCCACAGGCCAGGCCAGCAACCCTGATAGGGGAGAGTCTTTGTTTGCTGTGGGACCCTGGGTGGGTTAACTCAAAGTTATGTTGTTTTTTCTCTCTTGATATTTTGCTTTATGTCTTTTACCACTGTACTTTTAACCTGTTCAAATGCAGCTTAATATGAGGGAAAGAGGTAAACTTCAGTTTAATTGTGTTTTCATAGTTAAGTGCAAGAACATTTTGAGAGCATTTTTCAGTTACTCTGTGTTTTTTTTTTAAAGGTCTTTTTTTTTTTTTTTAAATTATAAAAGTAATGCAAGTACAAACAAAGGTTATGGTAGAAAATTAGGTAAGTACATAAAAATGTAAGGGACAAGTATAAGTGATTCATAATCCAAACACCTCGGAAAGCTCTTACATTTCTCATCAACTTAATTTCCTAAGTAAATGGCAATGGGGTAAAAAAAGTTGATAGTATCGATAGTATCAGAAAAACTTGAATTTTGTGTCCATGGTACATTGACACTAAGTTGGTAGACTGGTTATTAGTTTGAAGAATTGTAGCTTATTTTTAAAAAAACTGTTGGGAGTGACCAGTGTCACAACACAGTCCTGAAAAATGTGTGAGACCCAGGTTATATGTAAAGTGATTTTGTTTCAGGCAGCTTCATTGAGTAATTAGGGTAGCTTTCTCATAACCAGAACTCTGGGTTTAACATAGTAATGTATCCCTCAGTCCTGCCACTGAACAGTTGTTAGTAAAATAGAGCCTAAAATTCTTAATGGAAATAGTTGTATTCTTCTAGGATGCCCTCTGTCTGTGTTTGTTAAGTACCACTTGTTTTGTTCAGAGTGTTACAAGCATGTGTGTATGTTTGCTTATGTGAACCCACAAATACGTGTTTGATATTTTCTGACACTGAGGAGGTCAGTTGGGGTTAGAGTGGCAGGAAAGGGATTTTAAAAAGCTTAAGGTATGTTTCAAATTCTGTGAGAAATATTCCTTTGCTGAGATTATTGTAGATTTACATGCAGTTGTATATAGTGTTTTTTTCAAGTTTGCTGTTTGAGAGCTACTTGCTCAGTCTGGAAGGGTAGAGAGAGAACTAGACTAGTGGGTCTCATATTTTAATGTTCATTAAAACTGCTTGTTAAAATACAGATTCTGATTCAATAGGACTGGGGTAGAGGCTGAGATTCTGCATTTCTAACAAGCTCCTAGGTGATGGGGTGCTAGTGGCCCATGGACTGACCAAACTCTGGGTAGCAAGGTCCACTTTGGGGGAGTGTCGAATTCTTTACTACTTTTGGGAAGTTAGTTTGTTTTGTTTTAGCTTTCCTAAATTTGACCCTGAGTCTTTGGGAGTCTACAGCCCCCATGTACCCCCTCCTCTCTCACATGCTCCAGGATCCAATTCTGTTCAGTCCTCTCCATTGACTACCTTGGCTGTTGAATACTTATTTCACATGTTTATTGATTGCTTCCCATTTGGCAGTCTCTGTGGGAGGGGCTAAGTGTACACCGGCAAAAGATCAGAGGTTTTTGTCTTCATGGAACTTACCCTCTAATGTGCTGCCGAACTATCCAATAGAATTTCCAACGTTGATGGAAATGTTCTATATCTGCACTTCCCAGAAGCTACTTGTCACATCTGGTCACTTGAGCCCTTGAAATATGGCTCCTATGACACAGAAAAGGAATTTTTAATTTAAATATGAATTTAAATACCTATATTGGCTAGTGGCTGTGTTATTGAATAGCACAGGTCTAGTGGGAGAAACAAGGTATTCGACAAGTAACCACACAAGGTGTCTCCAGGAAGGCTTTATTTCCTGTTGTACTAGAAATTAACACATATCTAGGGTCAGAAAGGTTGTGACAGATTCCTTGTCCAATGGCATAATGTGAATTATCACGGCACTTAGGAAAGACCTGGTTTTAATGGGTCATGATGGTGGACAGTGATGTAGAACAGAAGGCTTTGGCCTTCCTTGTGTGTAAAGGAAGCAAACTGAGGCTGGTGACTTCAGTTTCAAAATCCTGATTTCAGAATCCTGGCTTTGTCAGGATTTGAGCCCTTTCCCTCAGTGCACTTTGGCAAATTGGCACCTGAGCTAGGTTGAACTTGAGTTGGATTTTTATTTAGGTATAAACTGTTTCATATCTAATGATTTAAAATTTTGTAACTAAATTTTTACAGTCAAGGAGAATTGTTCTTTATTTCCAACATTTTCCTGTGGTTACCTTAATTATGTCCTCTGCTTCTGCTCCGTTTATTTTTTAAAATCTTTTTGCGCTGCGGCTGTTAATTCTTGTGTATTGTTTTCATGTCTTCCCTTTGGCTTATATTTTTAATTGCAGAATGCTGTTAGTGTCTGGTCTCTAAATTTATTGCAGCTTGCCTTTGATGCGTTTGGTTATGTTAGTTAATGGGTGGTCTGGAGAAATGTTTTGAAGTTGTTCAATGACGTGAGTAGCTTATGGGGTTGGGCTTTTTAGCCTCTGAGTTTAAACTTGTTGAGTTTATAAGGCGCTTTAAAAATTTATTTTTAATTGAGGTAAAATATACATAACAAAATTTATTATTTTAACTATTTTAAGTGGGTAGTTCAGTGGCATTAAGTATTTCACATTGTGCGGCCATCACTGTCATCATCAACAGAACATTCTTCATCTTGCAAAACTGAAATCTGTACCCATTAAACAGTAACCCCCGTGCCACTCTCCCCGCAGCCCCTGACAACCTCCGTCTGCTTTCTGTCTTGTGAATTTTTTTTTTGAGCTGAAAGACCAGTAGTATTTAATTTTCTCTTTATTTAAGTGTAGTTGGTATACAATATGACATTGGTTACAATATAGCTATTCGACATTTTTACACCTTGCAATGTGATTACCCCACTAATTCTAGCAATCATCTTGGCTTTGTGAGTTTGGCTACTCTAAGTACTTCATGTCCGTGGAGTCATACAGCATTTGCCCTTTTATGACTAGCTTATGTCACTTAGTGTAATGTCTTCAAGGCTCATTCATGTTGTAGCGTGTTAAAGTTTCCTCTGT